AATGCCGGTAGAACCTTCCTAATATTACAACCAGAACAATATTAAATAAATACCAGATAGTCCTTTAGGTCTACTTTACTTGCAGGTGCAGTAACATCAGGTTTAGTTAACTTTAGTTCCAGTTCACCTGAGGTCCAGCTCACTTTAGTCTAGTTCACATCAGGTCCAGCTCAATTCAGGTCCACTTAAGGCAGTGATGGAGAAAGAACCTGAAAATATTACTTAAGATAAAGTACTGCACTGTTACTATGTAAAAATTAAAACATGTACAAAGCAGCTTTCTTCAAAATTACTTCAATAAAAGTTTATTTAACTGAAGTGTAACAAAGTAAAAAAATAAAAATAAAACATCATGCCTTTTAAATTTGCAGACCTCAATTACTTGCGGATGATACACTGGATGTACCCAAGCATGTCTAAGGGTAGTTTTAAATTTGCTGGCATTTTCGCAGCCTGGACAGGGAGCTTTTCTTTACCTGTATTGCATACAGCTGCTCTCCTTCTGACGACAGGGTTAGGGACCCAAATCCAGGTTGTAAGTCAAAATGGCCATAAGTCGAAAATGCTTAAATACTGCTTAAATAATACATAGCAAATCTAAAATGGGCATCTCTTTTTCTTCTCAACACCACAAAACTCTTACTTTTAAGCTTGCCAGCCATTTTAAAGTGAATTACAAACGAAAATTTTGTCAATACACAGCGCAATCACTGACGTTGGGACTCGAAAATACGTAATTGAACAAAATTTTGGTATGACCGAGGCAGGTCGTAAGTGAGAGTGGTCGTAAGTCGGGGAGGAGCTGTATATGTGTGAGTAGACACACATATATACAATACAGGTAAAAGAAATAATTGTCCTAAGGGCAAACACATACAGGGGAAAATACATTTCCTTGCACACAAATAAAAATGCCCCCCGAATTTGAAGGGCATGCAGTATTTGCAAAGTATCATAACTGATTAATGATTAAATTCTGCTTTGAAAATGAAGCTAAATGTTATTAATATACTTAAAAGAAAACAAAATATGACTGAGAAACACTTTGTATTTACAATCCACATTAGGTTAATTTTTAGTTGAGTTTCAGCAATAGCTAATGTTCATATTTCTTGTGGCACACCAGGGCTGGAATATCAGTTCATCGCAGGTGTTAGTGATTTTATGCTTTTACGATACACTAAAACACTAACAAGAAAGTTACATCAATACCCACAGTAATAATGTGGCAGCTGCAGCTGACTAACACAACGTGTGATGAGAGAACAATAAGAAATAAACAGACAGCCTCATTAAAAAGTACCTAGGGAAGACAGACTGAGAAATGTTGTGGATTTTATATAAGAGTTGCACATCACAAGTGTAGCTTTAAGTAATACTTGTAACCCAATGAGAACAAAACCCCAAATACGTGGGAGTAACTCTACAGTGGTCCCTCGGTTAACGAGCACAATCCGTTCCAGCATGTTGCTCATTAACCGAAACCATTGTTTCAATGGGTTTTTGGGTAATTGGTTCCAGCTCACAGAAAATTGCCTAAATTCAACAAAAAATGTAGAAAGTACACTTACTTTGAGGTGTGTATGTAGAAGGCTCCTGGATGATGATGATGGGAATTAGAATGGGGATGGAGGAGAAGGGAGAAGAGAAGGCATTGGGGTGGAAGAGAAGTCACCCCATGGTGCCATTTCACCCATAAAATTTTAGTTCTCTTGGTGTAATTCAAGATTATTTTCTTTAAATCAACACTGCACTGCATAATATATTGTCAATATGTAAAATAAATTTCAAAATGACCAATAATTTGCTTGGAAACAGAAAAAAAGCATTTAGTTGAAGAGAGTCTCAAGCAATATGTTACCTCCACTGAAAAGAGAGAGAGACTAACGCCTGTTTGTGTGTTAACAGGCTGGATGGCGTGCCAGAAACTAGTTTCTTTACCTTCAATTATGTTCAATAATTGTTAAAATGACTAAAAAATATTAATATTAAACTTTTAAAATTATTGAATTGTATAAACTTCTTGATATTTACCTAAATAGTATGGAATTTAAGCCCTAAAACCGATTACTGTATTGGCGGACTAATACTACAGCTGGTGGACCGCCAAATGCAAGCGAAAACATGTTGAGGTCGGCTTGTAAAAAACTAGTTAATCGAGGGATTGCTCGTTAACCGAAGTTAAGAATCTTATGGAAGGTAACTCGTTAACCGAAATCTCGTTAACCGAGGCGCTCGTTAACCGAGGGATCACTGTACTAACACTCGAGGCTCACGCTCACAGTCTTCAAGAAGGACAATAATAGAAACTGAGCCAATTAGTGTTGCTGCAAGAATGAGACAAGTCTAGTAATAAGACTGGACTATTTTTACGTTTTTAGAGTACAATTATTGGTCATTCTGAAATTTATTTTACATATTGATAATATTTAGTGCAGTGCAGTGTTGATTTAAATTAAATACTGTAATCTTGAATTACACCAAGTGAACTTAAAATTTTATGGATGAAATGGCGGCATGAAGCATGGGGTGATTTCTCTTCCACCCCACTTCCTTCTCTTCTCCTTTCTCCTCCACCCCTACTTCTAATTCTCATCATCATCATCATCATCAACCAGGAGCCTTCTACACACACACCTCAAAGAAAGTGTATTTTATTAATTTTCGGTGAGCTGGAACCAATTACCCAAAAACCCATTGAAACAATGGTTTCGGTTAACGAACAACCTTCTGGAACGAATTGTGTTCCTTAACCAAGGGACCACTGTATATATAAAAACCAGGCATTTTCCTACAATAACTTAATAAGAAACATTGTACCATTACTAGAGTAATTTAATTAATATTCCCCAAAACAATAATTGACAACTCTGTTATGTACCTTTAAGTTTTACATATTTGATTGTTTTTATCTTAAGTATTTTGATGTGATACAATTATTTTGTCACACAGTACAACATACCCTGTCAATTCACGGATTTTTAGTTCGCAGACCTTGATTATATGCGGATGACACTCTGGATGTACCCAAGACTATCCAAGGGTAGTTCTAAAGTTGCCGAGATTTTCTGGACGGGATAGGGAGCCATTCGTTCTTGAGACAGTACTTTCTACCTGTATTGTATATACTGTATATACTTTTCTATAATTCTACCTCGTGTATAGGTCGACCTTAATTTTTGACCAAGAAATCATTTACTTATGCTATGCCTCGTGTATAGGTCGACTAAAGTTTTTGAGGGTAATGGCATATTTTATAGCATATAAAACTCATTTCAGAAAACCTTCACTAAAAACACTCTGCAACCTATAAACTGAGGCTCGCCGTGCCAGAAACACCGAGCACCGAAGGCAAATTGTTTACCATTTATTATTACGGCACTTTACACTGAAACACGGGTAGTTTCATAAAAAATATCTCATATTTCCATTCAAGTATTTATTCAAGTCAACTAGGATAGAATATTATTGTAATACAACAGTTTTTTTTAACTGAAAACCATTCAAAAAGCGATTACGGTAACATCTTTTGAACAACGAAAGAAAATGAAAGTACAGTAATGGCAAAAAAAAAGAGATGGATTGGGAACGCTAACATATACGTGCACATTTAAGGATGCCGCGTCATTTATCTTTTTAAGAATATATACAAAAGATTCTTTATTGTTTATTACTGAATATGTATTTGATTTAATTAATCTTTATATATGCAAAATGAACAATACAATTCATTAATACTTAGAATATTAAAACACACAAGAGTATAAGAGACGACATTGTTGTCAGTGTTTACTTCCAATGTATACGTGTGCACTCAAGGAAACAGACATTTATCTTAAGAATATGTACGAAAGATCCATTATTGTTTATTACCGAATATGTATTTCATTGAATTAATGTTTATATATGTGAAATGAACAATGCAATTCATTAATAATAAGTAGAATATTAAAACACAAACGAGGAGACAAGACGGCATTGTTTTCGTGAGTGGCGATGGTTCTACATAAGAAACTGAAGAAATTAAGACCCTGGTTGTAGCTGTAGTGAACTTAATTAAAAAAAAATTATAAAATAATAATAATAATAATAAACGGTTTATTAATAGAGTTGCAGCCGGTGGCTGAAAATTTACCTGTATATATGTTTTAAGTAATGCTATTTAATGTTGATAAATGGAACACTAGCAGTAGCTTACCACTAATGGTAAAGAAATAAGGAGAGACGATTGGGAACTCCAACGTATGAACAGTAAGTGCGTACATGTGAAAACGTATCGTCATTTCTCTACATATGAATATGAAAGCAACACTTATTTACTGTTCATATATGTTTTAAATAATATTTACAAATGTAAAACAAATTCTATTCACCAATGGTGGTAAAGACTAAAACATAAGGACAGTCAATGAATATTGTGCGAGTTTTTACTCATGACGGTGTCATCAGGTTCAACTTCAACATAGACTACTGAACGCACGCTGTAAGGTAGGTTAGCCTATTGTAAGGTGGTGAGCATCATCTGCTGAAGGCACTCCACAGCTGTTCATTACTAATTGGTACATATTTTACGTTTCCATTGTTTACTGGCAGTAACCGGTAAATATATTTCATGTCTAAAACTAAAAGTTGCTCCTAGCCCTTCCTATCATGCACGGATTCAACCTAACGAAACTATTACCCATGAAAAGGTCGACCCCCAATTTATTGCCTAAAAATTTGGTCTTAAAACTCAAACTATACACGAGTATATACGGTATATGCGTGTAAACACACACACAAAACACATACAAATAAATAATAATGGGAAAATACTCTCACAAAAAATAACAAACAAATTTATTAAAAATGTGAGTCTACCCTCAAGTCTGTGCTTTATTATTAAAGTAATAAAGCACAGACTTAATAATAAAGCACGGACTTGAGGGTGGACTCACATTTTTAATAAATTTGTTTGTTATTTTTTGTGAGAGTATTTTCCCATTACAGTATTATTTATTTGTATGTATGTGTTTTGTGTGTGTGTTTACACACATATATATACAATACAGTAAAAAGAAATAATTGTCCTAAGGGCAACACAAAATGAATATACATTTCTTTGTACACAAGTAAAAATGTATCCCCCCCACCCTCAGTCCGCAAATGTTATTCGCTGATTTGGCAATTCACAGCCATTTTGAGAACCTAACCCCTGCGAATTTGGTGGGTCCCTCTGTAATCTTCCATCATATCTCCAGCAGTCTTCCCTATCCATTAACTTTAGTAGGTTAGGTTAGGCAGGGGAAGTTGATAAACTTGACCACCCCTGGCTCTCTTCCTTTCCACATTTAGACTTGTGCATCTCTTGACCTAACTGGTTTCCACCCTCCGCTCCATATACCTACGCCATATCTACCCATCTCTATGCAAAACTTTGTCAATATCCATCCACCTTCTTAGCTCTGAACAGGGCCTACTGTACTGTCTTACACCCAGTTATGGCCTTGAGTACAGATATGTTCAATTAAGAGTTTAGCTATTAATAACAATGGACTTACAATACAGCAGCAGGTGAAGTTTGTGTCCATCTCTGGTTAACTTCAGTTGGCTGGTTATGTTGATGATGCCACTTGGTGATGGTAGGAAAGTATTCTTCCCAGTGTCTACAGTGTCATACCTTCTGGTCCACTGCCTCGGGAAGATGTTGCATCATGTCACCTGCAAATGGGGATTCTTTCTTCAGTATGTTAATAAAGAATGGCAAAATAACCTATTCATAATGGACGAGTTGATGGTTCTGGGTAAAGACAAGAAATAAACTCTGCCACATTCGTAGCAAGAAAAGATGCAGGGGGCAGTGTAAATGTGTGAAGGCTGCTCTATAGTGTACTGCTCTATGCCTGTGTGGAGGCCTATGCGACCGTGCACACAGTGATATCCCCGTTAGCCGACACAATTGGTGCAGAGCACTTCCGGGGATGAGAGATTTCTGGGCGACGAGACGACTTTCTCAAACCCGGAAAAACTCCTTTTCCCCAGAACCTTTTCCGGTTACTGGGAAAAGTTTCAGTGTCTAAACTAAACATCCTGCACAGACAGACACTCGCCCACTTCCCCAGAATGTTTCTGGGTGCTTGTGAAGTTTTCCTCGAGCCTGAACTACCGGAATCCATTAATGCAGTTCTAATTAAGTTAGAAACTTCATTTCTTTACTATAATAATCCAAAGTAGTTTATCTAAAAGCTATCAGACTTCCGGGTTTGAAAGATCCCAGCTAACGGAGAAATTACTGTTGGTCAATCTTGTATAGTAATGCAAAATTATGAACTGATTATTGGAGTTCTTCACCTATTCAACATCCAATTTAATTGTATTCTGTAGTATTTTGTATAACCATAAGTTGACACATTGCTGCCAAGATGTTCTAATATTTGATTATTAGCTGATTTAGGCCAAATTGTTAGTCATCTTGTTATTTTTTGCAGTTAATCTAATAACACAACAGTGATGATTTTTTTTACAACTATTAAGTATTTTCCCGTATGAGTGAGGTGGGAAATGGTTCGAGAGACTGTCATTTAATGGACAGGTGGCCAGATGACGATATATAATTTGTGATAAAGGCATTCCGGTTGCCTCTGAGGATTCACACCTATGAGAGATGTCCGTTTCAGTTTAATGTTGAATTCTGTTGATTAAAATTAATGTTTTTTACAGATTTGTGGTGTATGCTGTTAAAAACAAGTGTTAATGTTATTGATTCTTTGTTGCCTTTGAAAATATTTGCAATTCATAAAGCACAACAATTTAATATTACATGTTAAAAAACTGACTCATCAGCTCTTACAAGATGTTTATTATCTTTCAAAATAAATAAGATGTAATAATACAAGTTACCTATACAGTAGAATGTCGATTTAAAGCGATTCAATTTAAGATTATTGACTTAAAGCGACACCCACAATTAAGGACAATGTTTTAATTTAAAGCGAATCTTTCCTATTTTGTGCGAGTCAATCTGGCGCATCATATTTTAAAATTTGCATCTACTGTTTCTCTGGGCACGCTACACTGTACTAAGGGCACAGCTGTACTGTACATGTACTAATGTACTAAATGATTACTTAAATATTTGTCTAGTGCAAACAATAGAATGTTTATATTCAAATTAATCACTATCTTAAAAGAATCTCAGCAATGTAAATTATATTCTCCCCAGTCACTTCTGTGACACTTTATAAACAAAAAATAAAAACTCAATCTGAAGGATATAAATAAACAAATAAATACTTCTGCCCACACAGGGGAGGGGGGTTGGGTTGTGTGCCTCTACCAACTGACCTTTAGCAACAGGTGCCAAGGGTCAGTCTGGAGAGACAACACATCCCAGCTGAGCTGCGATGTTCATTATCTTGTATAATTTTTGCCTTTTTATGCTTCCATTATTTTTCCTAAACATTCTCTGTTGAAATCAAATTGATAATCAGTGGCAAAGAGGATAAAGTATACTTACAGCAGAGGTGGTTGTGTGGTGTGCACTTAAACTGAAATAGGCCGAGTCGCCAGATGCACTATTGATACACTACCCACTGCTTCCACACTTACTATAACCTCCCACACAGAATACACACCCATCGGTGCAGGGTGAGATCGACGAGTTCCGAAAAGATACACATACAGTGTGATATGTCGGGAAGGTTGGTAAGTGTATCCTCATAGCCCCCCCCCCCTCCACTAGGTGTTGCCATATGGCTGACAATCAGGGCTGCCAACATACGGCTGGAACAACTTGCCTTTCCCAATACCTATCGTCACTGGTCTCAAATTGTTCACACTACAGTATGCACCGATACTTTTTGTTGCGAGTTTACATAATGGGTAGAAAAATTTATATATACCCCCTTTAGTTTACCTTGGCATAGGTGGTGATGGTGCAGTGTTGGTGGTGGCACCTCTTGTTCCAGGCTCCACTTGGTCATTTTCAGCTGTTATGGTACAGTTTAATTTTTCAAAGTTTTGTTGTAACATCTCCTGTAACAAACAAAAATTATATTTACTAAAAGTAACTAAGTGAAGATACGTTAAGTTAGGTCAGGTTAGCATTAGGGTGTTCAATATAGTAATCCAGAAGGAATAAGCTGGGCCTAATCTTCATGTTATCCATTCTTTCATCTGAGGTTCTAACTATGGCCAGTAATGAACGTCAATGACTTCACAAGTTGAGAAAAATTTAGCCAAGTGACATAAACAGAGGGCAATGTTTGGGCATTCAATTTACATATTGAAGTAAAATAGAGGTTAGCTTACTTCAAAGTTACGGCTATTTTGTAAAGGTGTATTAATATGTAGAAAAAAGTTCACCCAATTCCGACAATTCCTTCTGGTGGTAGCCATTGTCTACACCTTTACCTATTTTATTTAAAGGATCAGGATTAATGGTACAGAACTTATACAGGTTGTCAACAGCGAACAATGACGAAGTAGGAAAATTTTCACGCGTGACTCATTAAAGGCAAGAAAAAGATTTCTATCGTTACAAATGATCCTAGACACGTACTTTTAATGCCATAACATCAGTACTGTATTCGCCGTGTTTTTACCCCATAATTTCCCTCATCCTTCATGCCCCGCCCACTAACAGGGGATTTATGATCGTAGGATACGAAAAAGTCTTAAAAAATACTTAAAATCATAATAGAACATTGTCGTTTCTTTTAATATACTTAAAATCATCAAAACAATAAGTATTATAGGAAAAATAACGAAAATCGACAAACAATTTCTGGCGGTAGCCATTGTCTACACCTTTACCTAAAATAAATACAGTAAGCATCTTTATTAACATTACATTACATTTATGCCGGTCTTTTGTTTAGTTATTAATACATCTCTCTTCTTCTCATATCTATATAGAGCCAATAAATGATGTGTGTCATATTTTTAGTTTTACATGATCTTTTAGACTGATTCTATTCTCTTTTAATTGTTGTGGATACCATTAACAGTCATCACAATTCTCTATTAACTGTCTCTCCTCACATTTATACGGGCTCAGTGATAAAAAAATTATATATAAACCAGGCATTTTCCTACAATAACCTAATAAGAAACATTGTACCATTACTAGAGTAATTTAATTAATATTCCCCAAACAATAACTGACAATTCGTGGATGATACCCAGGATGTATCCAAAAATATCTAAGGGAAGTTCTAAAGTTACTGACATTTTTGCGGCCGGGATAGGGAGCCATTCGTTCTAGAGACAGTAATTTCTACCTGTATTGTATATGTGTGTGTGTGTACACACCAAAAAACACAAACAAATAAATAACAGCAAAACAGAATATATTCAGGTGTGACAAAATTAACCCAAGAAACGACGAAGGTCCTCGAAAAAATCACCCCCCTCCCCAAGCAACCTATTTTGTCGCAACTTGGAAATAATCTTCCCATAAAAATAATAACTTCCATAATCCACACCCACATCATGAATATAGCCAGACCTGGAACTTTTGCCAAGGCCGCAAGGGAAATGTTCGCCGCCAACTTCCTACCAGACATGGCATTCCCAAACGACGTACCTATTACCAAAATTTTTAACATTACCGTATATACAAACCAGAGAGCACCGCAGATCAAGTAACATCAACCCAAGAACAGGTTATTCCCGACATACATCCTGACCCAACAAGCGAGGAAGTAACGATGGCGGACGAAGACGAAACCACCACAAAAACAGAACACCCCGCCAAATTCAGCACTCCAAAAAAAGAATCAAACAGAAACTATGGCACCACCACCTTGACCCAGAAAGACCACGGAGAACGAAGACCTAAGGAGACGAAATTGGTCTACGATTGTTCTCCACTACAGCTCCCCCATAGTCTCAACAGAAAGACTCATGGCAGGATAAAATCCACATATACTACAGACATAAACCTAGAAGACACACACATTGAAACACTAATTAATAAAGGATGACTCATTACAAGACAACAGGAGAGAGAGTTGATCAGTCCTCATATAAAAAAAATCTGCCTGGTTCTGCTGACTGACAGGAGGGTGTCAGGGGAACACCGGTCAGCAAAAAATGGCACAAACCAGCTCTAGGCACCAGCCTTCATAATAAACAAACTTAAAATAATCCAACACAATGTTTTAGCATGGATCCCACAGAGAGAAAGCAAACTACACAACACATACCGTAGCATAGACCCAGATATTCTCCTCCTGAATTCGAATGGTAAGAAAAACTCGGAAAAAAATTAAAATATTTAACTGCACAGTCTACCAAAAAACAGTCAAGACCCACTACATGATGGAACTGTCATAGCCATCAAACGAAACATACAACACAAGATACACGACTCATTTCAAGAAAACTTTCTGGCCATCAACATAAACAGCCCAACAGAACCCTCATAATCGGCACCTGTCACTTCACTTCACATTTTACTTACCAATTTGTTAGTGACGGTGTAGTATTACTGTTCACTTGTGTCCGCCATACACAACACCTTCCGCCATTCATTATTCCTTCATCCATTTCTCTGGCGAAGATTTGTTCATCTTTCGTAATGGTATAAACATAACACAAGTCTCAACTATAAACAATAAATACAACAATTATTAAAGCTGTAGCCAGAGGATCAAGCTCCTACGTGGTGTTCATACTCTTCCCCGATGCGATTTTGTTTACCTCAACACTATGTCAATTCTCACGTCTTATAGGGAGGAGGACATGGCGGTTTGATTGACAAATTTAAAACACATTAATGTCACCAAACAAAAATTTCAAAACCTTACTTAACTTATTAAAGGTTATGATTCATTTAAGAAAACACCATCGCATACCAAACGCCGAAAATACCACAAGAACTAGCTTCTCTCTTTATTCAAACGCCCAAATATTTATTAGATAATTTTCATACTTCGTCTGTAAAAAACTGTAGATATTTTCATAATTAGGACGTAAAACTACGCGATTATTTTTTATTAATCCCACGTATTGTGCTAAACAATGAGTGGGGTTAGGTTTTATTTACTTGATCCTCTTCACCACTGATCGGCTCGTGAAGCCGCTTGGGCGATCGGTTACAACTGATGTATAGTACAGTTCAGTACAGAACAGTACAGTACAGTACAGAAAAATACAGTACAGAACTGTACAGTACAGATGTCCCTCATTAATGTAACAACTGATGTACAGTACAGAACATTACAGTACAGATGTCCCTCATTAATGTTACAACTGATGTACAGTGCAGTACAGTTCAGTACAGAACAGTAGAGTTAGTACAGTACAATACAGTACAATGTCCCTCTTTATTGTTACAACTGATGTATAGTACAGTTCAGTACAGAACAGTACAGTACAGAAAAATACAGTACAGAACTGTACAGTACAGATGTCCCTCATTAATGTTACAACTGATGTACAGATGTACAGTTCAGTACAGAACAGTACAGTACAGATGTCCCTCATTAATGTTACAACTGATGTACAGTACAGTTCAGTACAGATGTCCCTCATTAATGTTACAACTGATGTACAGTACAGTACAGTTCAGTACAGAACAGTAGAGTTAGTACAGTACAATACAGTACAGATGTCCCTCTTTATTGTTACAACTGATGTATAGTACAGTTCAGTACAGAACAGTACAGTACAGAAAAATACAGTACAGAACTGTACAGTACAGATGTCCCTCATTAATGTTACAACTGATGTACAGATGTACAGTTCAGTACAGAACAGTACAGTACAGATGTCCCTCATTAATGTTACAACTGATGTACAGTACAGTACAGTACAGATGTCCCTCATTAATGTTACAACTGATGTACAGTACAGTTCAGTACAGATGTCCCTCATTAATGTTACAACTGATGTACAGTACAGTTCAGTACAGATGTCCCTCATTAATGTTACAACTGATGTACAGTACAGTTCAGTACAGATGTCCCTCATTAATGTTACAACTGATGTACAGTACAGTACAGTTCAGTACAGAACAGTAGAGTTAGTACAGTACAATACAGTACAGATGTCCCTCTTTATTGTTACAACTGATGTATAGTACAGTTCAGTACAGAACAGTACAGTACAGAAAAATACAGTACAGAACTGTACAGTACAGATGTCCCTCATTAATGTAACAACTGATGTACAGTACAGAACATTACAGTACAGATGTCCCTCATTAATGTTACAACTGATGTACAGTACAGTACAGTACAGATGTCCTTCATTAATATTACAACTGATGTACAGGACCACCATATGTACGGTAATAACACAGTAAATATAGTTTATACCTTTAGAATAATTCAAGAGGAAATATAAGGCACTGGAGTGTGAAGTAAGAAGACGATCTGTGACCAAGAGGAGAGAGTAAAATACACTTACAGGACTTGACATAGTTTCCCTTACCAAAGTGACACTCTCTTAAATATTAAATGCTTATATAATTTATTTAAATAATTGAGTGAACAATTGGTAAATTTTTATTTATTTTTAACTAGTAATTAGCAAATACAAATTAAACTAAATAAATAAACCAAAATAGAAATATATTGAGAAATAACAAAAATATCCAATATTACCAAAACTATAATAAAAACCCACAATAAAAACTAGAAAAAAAAAGATGGGGATCATCCTTCTAGTGACACAAGGATCATGGAGGGACTCCCCTAACATAAAAAGCCCTGTGGGGTATGAGATGTTTGGTTCACACTCAGGATGAAAGGAAACTCACAATGTGCTCTCTGTATACATGTTGTATTGGATGTACAATACAGCTTGGTGCTGGGAAGGCAGCGTGGTTACAAGCGTTGGGTAGAGAGAGCTGGTTGGTGAGGACGCTCAGAGGAGGACCAGCCTGTGGGTCGCCATGCTCGCCGGCGGGAGCGAGGACCGCCAGGCAGGCGGAGGAGAAGGTGTTACTGGCTGGTTGGTGGAGGTATTAAGAGAGAGATGACCACGAGGTCAGGTCTTAAATAGCGGGGGTTGGCGTGGCTTAGTAGTTGACCCCCGCTCCGTGATGTATTGTTATTTTTTATATATGGTGTGTGGACTGCCTCTCCTCCCTCCACCTATAAAGGCAGTCTTAGCACTACACTGGAATTGGATAACCCAGAGCCAGGCCGGCCTCACAATCATGCTGCTGACGAGACCAATGTATAGTGCAACAAGTGTCGCAACCAGATGCAGCACCAGGCTGCCTCCTCCTTGGACAAGCCCGGCAATATCTTTGCCTAGGCAGTTACCCAACAAAACAAGGCTGTACAGAGGTGTTTTCCTTCTGAGGAGAACACCAAGTGCTCTTTCAGGTACCACAGGCGTACTCCCCCTGTGCCTGAATATCTTCGGGACTTCACCTTACCGGATGAATGGTAGAAAACCCTTGGATCTAGCCCAGAGCAGTTTCTCCTTTACGACAATGGCTCAGAAGCTAACAGTCGTATCTTCACCTTTGCTACAGATGGAAACCTTCATCGGCTGGCAGCTACAGAGACCATCTTCATGAATGGCACTTTCAAGATGGCACCAACTCAGTTCACACTGGTGTATGCACTTCGAGTCATATTCAACACAACATATGTTTCGTGTGTCAATGCTCTGATGGAGAACAAGACAGGAGCAGTGTGCTCAGAGGTGTTTGATGCCATCGTCGACCACTGCACTAAGTTGGGACTTAATCTGGGGGAGCGGACTGTTGTGACAGATTTTAAAGTACAGAGCAAGGGCTGCTTCTACCACCTAACACAGAGTACCTGAGTTAGATCCAGCAGCTTGGTCTATTACACCATTACCACTCAACCATGGAGTTGCGCTAATTATATGCTTTGCTCAATGGACTCGCCTACCTGCCCGCAGTCTTGGTACCTGATGGCGTGAGTCACCTCACGAACAAGACTGCCGAGCTGCTTACTTACTTCGATACAACCTATGTTACAGGCAGTTACAGAACCATCCAGCTTAAGAATTCACAGGGCATCACATTGCTTCATATGCCCCCAGCATGCCCCTCAGATGTCTGGAACGTTTATGAGGCAACATTAGATGGAAACTGCCGTACTAATAACGTGTGCAAGAGCTGGAACGATA